AACCTATTTTACGTGTCAATTTTTGTTCTTTAACGAATTCTGGTTATGGCTAATTTGAGCAATGATTGCCAGTGAAGTTTCACGCAAACTTTTTTTAAAACACCAAGGAGTTCGATATTGTTGTAACATTTATACTTTTTACTCCTTATAGCCCGCTTTTGCAAATTTGAAACAAAAGCATTGTTAGGTAATGTAACAGCAATGTAGAAAGAGAGGATCAGCGCGAGAGAGAAGCATGTCACTGAGAGAACAAAGCTTGTCTATTGAACCGTGACATTTCGAGAGTAGCCTTCTATCACTATTATTAGTTACACCTGTATATCTTCATTCTATCAATACGTGAATTCATTTCGGAAAATGTATACTGATACGAAAAGCAACAATATCTTTGAAATAGGATGAATAATTTCGTGTCTAATTTTGAAAGGTACATTTTAGATATGTTATAAGTAAAAACTTTACTAAAGAAAGTCCTTCAACATCCTCTATATACATAAAAATTAAAAATCTTTAGTTTGTGTCTCTGTTTATAACGAATCCGTTTTGTTAAAATATATAACATTCAACTGAATGTGATGAAATTTTGGTGAGTTCGGATTTTTGTTCAGTGTACTGAGAAGATTTTTGACATCGCGTTATCAACTATCAATGTACGTACGACGTAATCGATACGTTCAGCGAGTCATTCATATATCTGAATACAACAGGTACAATTAATGGTAATTAAGCAAGTCTTACATAAAAAAATATTTCTTATAGTATTTTTGAGACTAAGCAAAACTTGTATGGATCTTCATATCAGCGTTTATTTGACCTTTTATTTAAAAAAAAATTATTATTTATTTTTCCTGGGTGTTAAAAAAAGCTACTCTGTTATATCAAAAACTGCACTATGAAACTAGTAATATTCGACATTTTAATGTAATATAGGAACCATCTTGGGACCTACCTTAATAGAATACAGTTTATAGTAACAAAATCGGTCAAGCCGTCTGTGAAAATCGGTGAAAATACATAAAAAACATACATACAGACGAACATAGAACCTCCTTCTTTTTGGAAGTCGGTTTAAAATCAAGCTAGGAAATTATTTTAAAAGAAAAAATATTTGTATAGTTTTTTTACGTAGGATGAGCTGTTCTGGCGATATTGATTAAAACACGTTTTTCGCGACAGTGCTGTGGTGGCGCCAGCGCCTCTCGAGCGATCCCTCAAACTTGGTTTTAGGTTTAAAAAATGCTCCTTTATGAAATGGCAATATCGCGAAAATTGTTTTATGTTATGTACATTGTTCCAGCTATTGACTGGATTAAATATACAAAAAACTCTTCACAGAGAACTACTCCGATAGCATTTATATTAGAAATCCTAAAAATAAAAATGAATGGCTGTATGTGTTACTAAGCGCAAAACTCAGGAACGGCAGGATCAATTAGGCTAATTATTTTTTTTAAATATTCGTTGAAGCCCAAGGAAGGTTCTTATGAAGAGAAAAATTGGATAAAAATTACCGAAAAACGTAAAAACACTATTTTTCTAATCGGGCCTGTGACACACTTGATTTGACAGAACAAGGTCTGTCAGGTCAGCTGTTCTACAAGAAGATATTTGAGAAAAACTATGATTTGGGGGTCTTTATTAACGCAGTCGAACAAAATAATATTATTTTTAGAATTTTTGTCCGTTTGTCTGTGCGAGCTAATCTCAGAAACGGCTTAACCGATATGCGGTTTTGACTAATGTATAAGAGTGAGCCTCACTTAACATTTTTCAATCGGTTCAAAAATAAAAAAGTTACGTTCAATTTAAAGAATCGTCCCTAGGGACGAACCCGAGCGAAGCCAGGGTGATTCGGTAGTATAACAATAAAATTTAAATAGTTAAATAATTAACCTTTAAAATTCAATATTCAAATATTGCTATAATCAATTCTAATATTCGATTATGAAATATACGATATTATTTATTTCTTCTCGGAATGAAACCGTGTTTAGTTTTAATATTACAGAATTATTTATTATTACAGAGTTACTTATTAAAGAATTGCGTCACATCTGTGACATTATTAAAAAAGCTTTCTCCTTTTCGACTTCGACTTATTTATTTACTTTATTCCATTGTTTATTCACAAAGGAAAATATAATTTCCATATCACGACCCACATAGTAAATAACAGAACATTTAATCGATAAGATACTCCAACTTATCCTTTTTTTTATTTTAACTAGCTTTATTTAAAAATGTGGATGCCTTTTGCTTATTTATTCCATAAATTTTATCTTTTTTAAATAAAAAATATAATAAAACTAATTTATATCCTTTTTCAAATGAAAAAGCCTAAGGAAGATTTTGAATCGAAAGCTTACTGTCCTCAGTATCTGATTTATAGCAAAAGTAAACCCTTTTCTGATTAAACGTTGGAACGCGAGGGTTTATTGGGCGTATTCACTAGAAATAAATGTTTGTGTTTCAGTCTTAAAAAGTTTATTGAAATAAAGGATAAATATTAAAAATTATTTAGACTATTTAGTTGAGATAATTTGTTTGAGTAGTGTAAGGTTAGAGAAAAACGTATTGCATCTGCAATAAGTTTTTCTACGGACTAATTAAAATGAATACAGTTTTGCAACTATAATACAAAAAATATACTTTAGCGTAAAAATAAGAATGTAGAATAAAGTTCAATGAAAATCTAATAATAACAAACCAATAAGGTGGTATAGCCTGCATTTTTAACCTATACATCGCGTGCACCTGCGAGCTTATACCAAAACAATATACTATACTTTTTCCATCATTTTTTCTATAATCATATATGTATGCCGTATCACGCAACTATCCGTTGATCAAAACAATCTCGCATGGTCTATAAGCTGATAATTAACAATAGATAAAAATCTCTAATAAAATATGCTAGTAAAGGTAGTTTCGACGTCGTTATCTTACAGTTATTATATATGTGTTTTGGTGATGAACAAAAATATTTTTTAACCTAGGTAAGTTATGGAAACCATTCTCTTACAATACCTACGAAAATTAAACGAAAGGACGTACTTTGCGTGTGATATTATTGAAAAATATTGATGTAAACTGATTATGTCTTTAAAACAAAGATATTTCATAAAATACTTAGAAGATGAAATTTGGCCATTTTGAAAATACAAACCTTAAATGGAAAATAAGAGGTTACAAAATTTGTATATTATAATATATCCCTGAAAGTTTCTAATTAAAAACGTAACCAAATGAAGCAAGAATCAGTCAAGGCAATTAAAAGATACACGGCTGTTTCCTGTGACAGAAAAGAATTTGGTATTGAAATATTATGTAGTTGAGGATTTATATTATAATTTATTTTTTATGTGTGTAATGTGTATGTTACGTTTGTATCTTTTTACAATATAGTTATATATATAGTTATCAATAGGCATTTTGGCATACAAATCCAAAGACAATATCTGGAGCTGTAGCTAGTCTGGTATTTGATCGACAATTGAAAGGAAATATTCTCAACGGACTATGGTAGCTACGGCGCTTGAGTTCATATAATTCATCTTTACGAGGACTTTGCTCTAACCCGAGTGAGTTTATCTCTGAGAGGAAGGTTTAAGGATGGCCACTAAAAAATAACACTTAACATAATACAAATAATAAAAACTAAAGGTAAATTCTCTAAAACTTACACGACTTAATTTTAATTTTTAACATCTTCTACTAGTTACCTCTATTATAAATATTAAAAATACTTTAATAGTACACAACACGCTCCTTACAAACATTAGCTAAACATTATAGCGTGGTAGAAACAAAGGTGTGGCTAAAAACATTGACTGCACTAACGTCTAACCGTCTAACGTTCATATTCATTACCTACTTCTGGAATTTTAATCTATATAATACATAAAACAAAGTCGGGTTTGTTACAATACGTATAACTCGAGAACGGGTTGACCGATTTTTATTATCTTTATTTTGTTGGATTTGTCTTTACCCCTAATAGCAGAATAACTATAAAACATCGGAAAAAAAATTGATAAAAATATGTTATTCTATCTATTTTTATACCTATATCTATTTATATACCTTTAAAATTATATAGCATAGCCAAATTATAAAATTGATCGTATTATTACCTTAAATACTGATCATTATTATTAGATAATACTTTCCTAGATTCTATCTCATTGATTAAAGATTAGATCTCAAAATTTTCATGATTATTATTCATTATACTTATTCGTAAATTTCATGATTTAGTTAACTGTTCTATTATTCAGTCTTAAAAGACGATTTTAGAACTTATTAATTACCAAGTCTTGCTAATTAGTTGGCACAATTTGCCTCAGTGATCGCTTTGTATAAAATAATCAAATCACATTATGATATTATGAAATTGATATCAATGAAGAGCTGAATTTTCAAAGATTTAAATTAAGTTAAGGTGCTTATGTTGTACATACTACATACAGTACTAGTCTACTAGAAATTCGTTTTCAAATGTTAATGAAAAAAGTATACTTAAAATTAATTATTTATAAAATATCGTCGGTTTTTGAGTAGAGAGATGTTGATGAAGAGTTTGCACCAAAAACTAGGTATTATAGAGTAAATATAGTGCCGAATAACATTATGTTTATTTAAACTATCTTTGTTTCTTATTTAAAACTCTATTATGTACTTTCACATTGTCATAGTTCCAAGTTTAAATAAGTATAACCCTATGGCTACAACATATAAACGTGGTACATATATAATATATCTACATTTATCATGGGCCCTAAGGCAATTTAACGAATTCTTACTAAAAATCTGTAAAATATTTCAAGAGGTACAAAATTAAGCTGATGAAAAAAAAATTAAAACCTGAAATTATGTAAATATTGGTAGAGATCGCAGGTTGGAAGAAGGTTATACCTACAAAATTTCGGAGCTGTAATCTGCTCAATTAAAATTTAGTAATAGTTTTTATTCTGGCTTATAACATAGCAGTTATTACTTACTTTTACTTGATCCTGTTCGCCAGCGTACTCTATGCTCTGAAAGATTGTCCAAGTGTAGCGTCTCCGTACCTCCATCCGCGCTAAATACCGCCGATACCATTGCTGTATTAGTATGGCAGCTTTCATGGCTAAAACAAAATAATTCATTGTAATTATTAACTTGGTGCTATTTTTTATAGGTTTACCTTTATTCAAACAACTTTAGTTACCTATTTATAGTAAACTATCGTATCGATTAATATTTTGAAGAAGCAACAAATATGATCGCTATACTCTCTCACTCAATCAATCTCTCAACCACTCACACTCTTTCAGTAGCGTCTAAAAGCTAAAAAACTGTGTCAAAAATGTCTAGCCTACGCGTCTGTAGTGATGTTCGTAATAACAAAATCAAACTCACGTCATACATAACATCTCTTAAAATAAACACATTTCGCTAGCGTTTTCATCTAATGTAACTGTACTTTTCCTTGACAAGTAAACACTGTTGTGAGGTACTCGTACAACATGCAGGTTGCAGATCAACATTTTTTATGACATGGAACGACTATAATTTTTTTTCAAATTGTAACAATAAGGTTTTTTTTTAATTTGACCGGAGGTAAAAGTTTACACTTTTAACTCAATAACTAAACTCTTAAATAGTAAAGGTAAATAAATAATTAAAAATTACTTAACTTGAGAACCTAAAGAGGTTCTCAAGTTGATTTTGAGAAATTTGATTTTTAAATAAAACTATTTTTACGATTTTATCATATTTTAGTTTTTATACGAAGTAGGCTTCGCCAGTAATTAATATATTAACGAACCTTATATATATATATATATATATATATATAGTAAAATGGTGTAAAGTCAACAAGGACATTTAAAATTTGCATAAAATTGCCTTTGAATCACAGATAACTCAATTTTGTACCGACTGCTGATCTTTTAGCTCCCGGTTACACGATTATACGCTGACCTCATTTTTAAACTTTACTAAGTAATCAATATTTGCTAATTATAAATATTGCTAATAAGAGCTGACATTAACATAAAAGCTTTTCACTGTGAACAGACTTTTGCCATCTTTCTTTAAAATTAAAATTAGATTTTTACATAAAACTATTTTTACGATTTTATCATATTTTAGTTTTTATTTATTATATATTTATATTTATTTAAAAAAACCCCTACGCAAATTAATTGTCAATTAACGATTGCACTGCCACGCGTGAAGCACTTCATCGAGTAATCATACGTCAAAATGCCTTACATCATTTTGGAAAAGAGCTGATACTCTTACACTGCTCTATCGATATTAACCAAACATAGCTGAACCACCGCAAGGAAACTGGCTTTCAAATGAAAAAAATCGCATCGAAATCGGTCTATCCGTTTGAAAGCTACGATGCTACAAACACACAGACACACACACACACACACACACAGCATCGACGTCAAACTTATAACACCACTCTTTTTGCGTCGGGGTTTAGAAAAGGAGAAACTTATCTGAAATACTTGACAATTTTTTAAAAGATTTAAAAAAATATTCTGATTAGAGTCACGGTAATGTTATGTAACATTACCGTGTTAGAGTTGCTATAGAAATAAACTTATTAAATACCGCGTAAATATCCGAAAATATAGTTCAATTTAAGTATGTTTAGAAAAAGTGATACCTAATAGCTAGAGTATTGTCTTATCTGTGAGTTTACACTTTAGATATAGTTGACACTATTTGAAACAGACCACCCCCAAACAGTGTAAAATATTTGCTAATATAAAAAGTTTTAAAATTTTTATTTGTCCATTTTTAATGTAGACGTAATAAGCAGATAATTTGGAAGAAAAAAGATTTTTAATAACATTCGATTAAGAAATTAATTATGATAAAAAAATAATTTATTGTTGATTTTTTGTAAACCGCTCGACCGATTTCGATAAAATTAAACTGGACCACCTGGAAAGTATATATACCCTTCGAAACAAAAAAATCCAAATCGGTTAAACCTCCTCCTTTTTGGAAGTCGGTTAAAAATATACATCTTACACACAGAACTAATATAAGAAATAGTGTGAAATAAAAATATATTCTATCTATAGAGTATTATATGATCTGGGATTCTATAACTATAGTAATAAAGTTATAGATATAATATGTAATTTTATTAATGAAATGCAAACCGTAGTCACGGTTCTATTATCATGCGTAATACATGTAGTCCGTATTTTGAAATTCCCTAATGTTTATTTATAGGCATGTGAAGGATTAGGGTGAATCCAATTTACATTGTTAATATAAATTCAGATTTCCCATAAACTTCTTATCATTTAAGCAGTTTAGTTATACCTATCTAGCTGCTTTTTCAGAACGACTTATTATGTGTATTTTAAATTATGTATTGCTTCAAAGTATATAAAATTTCGACATCGAAAATATCTGATTAGGTATCTATTCTAAATGAAAACCTTCGTTTAGTTATTTTTTACATTTTAGTTCCTGGAAGTCGGTTTTTTTTAGTTTTTATTTAAATATTTAATAGCTACGCCATGCATTTGTTTATGTAATTTATTGAACTAACATATTATCGTATCATATATTAGAAATGAAATTTAAAAATAATCTCCACTTACTTCTTTCAGCTTTTGTCATGCTAACATCATCTCGTTTCCAAAATTTCAGGAATGGTGCAAGCGCCTTCATTGTGCATTCGCTATTAAGTACTCTTTTCCCAATTTTTTTTGGTACTTCTTGTTCGATTTCGGAACTACGACATGAAGAGGAGTCGTCTCCTAAAGATCGTGCACGTCGCTCTCCTCTAAAGCTGACACATCCACAGCCTCCCGCCAATGAAAACATTGTGGGACTTTTGTCCTTTTTATACTTTTTATCTCTTCGTTTTCGGGCACATCTTGGCGTATTTTGGCGTGTTTTAGGAATTGTGACAAATTGAAACACCGAAAGAATAAGATGCAAACATATCCAGTCCCACAGACCGGCGTTAACCTGAAATTAACAAATAAATTAAACTAGATGTACAAATGTAATTAGAAATGTAAAAGATACTAGATATAAAGTATATTTGTCACAACAAAGTCAGTTTGAATATATTTAGGTCGTCAACTCAATATACGAGTACGTTATTTCCCTTGAGGTTTACGAGTCATCGTATTCCCTTTAGAACTTTTTAAAAATTAAGCCGTTTTAATGTACGCTATAAATTTTATGGTACAATTTTATTCAAAAAAATTTAGATCCTTTTTTCTTTTAACATAAGAATTGCGTTCTGAGACTAATTTAAAAAAAATTAAATCAACAGGTCTTATAGGTAGATAGTAATCACACGATATTTAAAATTGCAAAAATTAGTGTCGATGATCATTCGATAACAGATATATATGTCGATTAACCCCAGGGCAAAATTTTATCGTTGACCTATCGTTGTAACCATGTGAATTGAATTTGTAGTTGTATTTAGCGAAATATATTGTCTGCCCGCGGCGTGTCGTTGAGAGATGACCCTAAATTACTCTCTACCGTTCACTCGGGATTACAGAGATATTTTACTGACCCGTGCTGATTGTATAGATTCCGGACAGGTCCACAGTTGCTAATGGAATACAATTATATAAAATTTTAGAAATTGACATAATAATTCAAACATATATCTACTTCATAAAAGTATAATACTAAAAGCTATGGCGTAACACTGTTTAAATGAGATTATCCCAAGTAACTCTCCTTAAAACTTAAAATTTAATGGCATCATTTCACTCAGGCCTCACTCTTCGCTCACTTAGTAATTTTGTATAAAAGTTTTGTGATGAAATTTAATCTGAACTAGATTTCTAATATTTCAATATTTTATGTATCATAAAAGCTAGCGTACATGGCTTATTACTTATAATTATTAAAATAATTAATTAATACCTCATTCATACCTAACCAACGTTTTTTTTATATTGCTTGACATTTTAAAACAATTTTAAAGTTCCCAAATTGCCACAAAAAAACTAACTAAAAATATTTGGGATGTAGGTACTTTTGGTAACAACTAAGAATATAGTTTTGGAATTTTATTTTATTTTTTAATTTTTAATAATGATAAATTAGACTAACATTTTTACATCATTTTTTAATTCTATATTACGTTTTTAATTCTTTTTTTACAATACCAATAATGAAAAGTATAATAAAATTGTAAAGTAGTTTTAATTGTATCTTACGTATTTTTTGATATTTGTACCCTGTTTTACGCTAGGTAAACTTGCCATGGGATCCCTGCTGTCTATCACAGAGCAAGGTATTGTGAGACTCCTACTCATTAAAACCTAAAGCATGTACCATTTAAATATGTGTATAGAGATTCGCCGGCAATAAAAGCCAGTACTAACCACTAAAACCTAACGAAACCTTCTAGTTCTAATGTGGCCTCGCAGAATCACTTACACACTCAACCACTCTACTATCAAAGACGTACCGAGAGCAACATGTATTGTAAACCTCCATAGACCCACTAAAATGAACCGTGTCAAGAGCGATCGATATCAAAAACCAACTATACTCAAAAAATATTTCCGTACTATCCATACGTTATGTATACCTTTGTTAATTGATTGATTCACATCAAACTTTATCGAGCTTTCCAGTTTGTGAATAGAGTAGCTTTTCAATAAATTTATTTATTTATTTATTTTATAGTTTTTTTTATAGGTCTATGTAATTGCATATATTTTTTAAAACTTAGAACTGTGTTTCTTTTGTTATAAAAGAACAATGTCTGTCACTTGCCCTGGACTGGTATCTTTTAATGACGAGCGTGTTTCCTTTGATCTTTTTAATCTAAGGTTCGGTGAAATTATTACACGCAGTTACATTCGTACTATTATAAGTCTTAATATACTATTTTGTAAAATATACATTACTGCAAAGTAATGTGTTTAGTCTAATTTGTGTTTTAATTTAATTAATATTTGATACTTGAGCATTAAATTTTACCTTTTGAAGTAGACTGGTTTTTGTATCTTTTCTTTAACATCATAGAAACAGTGCGTTGTTAAAATATACAGTACATATTTTTATGATTTAGGTTAAAAGATGTATTATATATGTAATACTTATGACGAGGCCTTTGATTTAATTTATCGCATAAAGCTCTTGGAAAAAGCTTTTTTAATCTCCTTATTTGCTCCCCGAAATTAAGCTCATCAAAATTAATTTATTTACGCTATATAATTTTCTCTTAACTTAATAAACCATATTTATTTTTCCCGCCCACTAGAGAGATAAATAGACGTACTATATATAGGCATACGAGTTTTATTTTTCATCATAGAAAATACGGAATCGTGAAATTAGAGAGATTTTTTTTTATTATTAAAACGAACAAAATTTTGCAAATAGTGTATTCTAAACTAAATTTGTTCGTTATAATTAGATACCGCAAAACATAAAATTACTTACACAAGTTTACAAGTCAACGATACAGTTTTTATAAGGTTCGCTGGCTGGATCTAAATCCCAACCCGTAATATATTATGATATGAATTCTATTGGAATACCGATGCTTTCAATTTACATGTAAAACAAGTTTCTCAAGGAAAGACGAATTTGTTTTGTTTTTTGTGAAAAATATGCTGAAGATAAAAGGGTTTATACGGTGGTAAGAACTAAGAAGCTACCTAGCATTAAAGATAATTTGAAATCGATTTTGTAAGAAAATGAAATTATGCAACACTACTCGAACTCGTGTTTAAATTATGATAATTATGAATACATATACTATGAAATATTATCACAGGTACTACTGTTGTTTACACAATATGATAAATATGGTACATAATACAGATTTATCAGAGTAAGCTTTATTTTAATAATTTCCAACAAGGGCTAATACGATACGTAAATGTTACATCCGACATGCCATTACAAGTAAAGTGGAATTGCTCCTCGTAAAAATATAAGATTGCCTAGCTTTACTTCACACATTTTGTATTTTATACACGTAACCCGCGTATCCATCTAGTCTCTTCTTACTAAAACTACTCAATAAAATGCTAGCAGCTTGCTTTCGCTGTTATTTTTATGTATTAGACACCTAAAAATATCGTTAAACATAAACACGCAGAACTTGTCATTATTAAAGCTGATATATGCGTAATATATCATATTACTGTGTACATCTGTGTTGAATTTAAACTGCTAGTAAAATTGTAGATAATACATGAATAAGCAGTAACTCTTCACAAGAGACTCGCGCTATGAAATATTAAGCAGTATCGTCAAATGTCGTTAATCCTGCGTCCGATGTCGGTTACGAATACTCTATATCATCTATAAATATAATAAAATTGTAACTAAGCCGAATCTGTACATTAAATATTTTTTGAAAAATCTTATTGAAGTAGACATTATTATCGATACAGAAGCCGAATCTATAGTTTTTAGAATTTTTGTCTGTCTGTCTGTCTGTATGTTACCGCATCACGAGAAAACCACTGAACAGATTTTGATGAAATTTGGTATGATGATAGCTGGTTATCTGGGTCAACATATAGGATACTTTTTACTGCGGGAAATATCTCATTTCTGAGAAAAAATACAAAAACTGCATTGTAAGAATATTTAATATATAAAACCTAAGAATTAGGTTTTTGGTCATCTGAACGCGGGCAGAGCCGCGGGCAATGCTAGTTAAACTATAAAAATGAGAGACTAGAAACTATTGGGCTCTATAAAAATTTTCTAGCATAGTTGGCTAGTCTTAACGATATGGCCGCCGTGACCGAGATCATTCTGAAGGATAGTGCAAATATTGCTCAAGCAGCACAAAATATCCATTACAACATTTCTTAATATTTTGTCCTACAAACATTCATAAAATTCTTATTTCGTCACAATGCCGTTTTCTGTATCTTATATTAGAGATACATTATGTGTCTGATATGTAAATAGAAAAAGCATAGCATCATCACTATATTTGTTCGTAACTGTTGTTTTATGATCTTTAAAGAGCTCATATATTCTCGAGAAGTCAGTTATTGAAACCATCTGTTAAAGCTGTAAAGTTAAAAAAAATTATCTCCAACTTTTTTATAATGTCAATAAGTAGGTAAATTTAATATAAAATGTAGATAATCAATGAATAAAAAATTTACTCACATAAAAATATTAAAGTGCTAAAGCCGCGTTGACACGCTCAAAGTCTGCTTTGACACGAAGTTCACTTTGATAAAGTCCACTTCGATTGAACGCCAACGTCAAAGTGCGCTTCGATTGCTCTTTCTCTCTCTCTATCTCTCTCTCTCTCTCTTTAATTTTTATATTTTATTCATTTATTTATTTTTTTATTTTAAAGTTGTTTCTTGTTTTTATTTTATTTTTAAGTTTTTATCATTCATTATCTAAGTGTCTTCTATCCATATATGCTAGTTTTATTATCGTAAATGTGGAAAAAACTAAATGGTGGTTATTGGCAATCCCGAAAAGTCTTACTTTATATTTACTTAAATTATACAAAAATCGCTTATTGTTTTAAACATTTTTGACGTCGTTTAGAGCGTGCATAAATGGCAGCTTGAACCACTCAAATTTATTTTCTATTATATTTAAAAGTTAGTTAATTTTTTCAATACCTATTCGTATTATTTAGGATGGAATGAAATAATTTAAAATAAGACTTTAGTTTCATTTTTTGAAGTGGCCATCACATGTCTTTTCACCTCAAATAAGCCAAACCAGGCACTTCTAGCCCGTACATAAATTTAGCTTGTCAGCGAGTAACGCAATTGCCGCCTTTATTACAACAAGGGTACAGGGTATACGTTTAGAATAAGATAATAAGATAAACGGAGTGTAATAGAACAATAAATAAAGCCGAACATCAAACAGCCAATGTCAAAAAAATATACACAGCCATAAATATTGTTACAAAGAAAAAAATACATTTTTTCTATTGCACGTAACATTTATTACTATTACAGTGTGTTAGTTTAACACATTAATAT